TTACAGGTATATCTTTCATTAACATCACTTAAGGCTTTGCCAAACAAACATTGAACACCTGGATGGCAAGGAGATTTATGGACTTCTGGCAGAATCTTCCAGGATTGGCTCACTTCATGGCGTTTACTCCCCCTTCGAAGCTTGATACCAAACAATTGTTGGACTACAGTAGGAATGAAATACGATGTCTAAAAGGCCTTCTTAGAGGTCACTGTTATTTGAATCATCATATGAAGAAACTCAGACTGTCGGAAGACAGTGTGTGTCGCCTCTGTTTGGAAAATTATGAAACAACAGAGCATACATATACTTTATGCCTGCTCCGCTGGGGACCAAATCAGGTTTTATTAGTGTTCGGCAGAGCCGTACCCTCACCATCTGTCCTGAAAGACCACTCACCATACAAACTAATCAGCTTCGTTAAAAACCTGGGTTCATTTGGTCGAGTGTGAATAGGTGTGAGCCACAATAAACCCTTGCGGGTTGCGGTTGCGGATCGAATAAACCCACTCATTTCAAACCTAACCTAACCTAGTATATTGTGTAGGAATCCTGTGAATGATATCTGGTTCAATTCCATAACGAATGTTTGGAAAACAAACTGAATAGAGAAAAATGTTTTTTGTATAATTCAGTGTTCATATGAAAGTATACATTTTGAAAATATGTTTCTATTGTGTAATTCAATGTTCATATGGGAGTAGCTGTATCAAAAAGGCTTTTTTTTTCCAGTTTGTGTTGGAAAGTCACTTTTATGCATTTTCAGCACATCTCTCATCTCTGTACAGAGATATTCTCTTGAAATTGATTACTTTCTTCCTTGCTCTAGAAGATTCTCACTTCACTCATACGTAACACCCAAATTTTTCATCAATACACTGCAGTTTGAGCCTGAAATTCTCAAGATGTATCTATATGTTACAAAGTTGCCATCGCCAAACTTATTTCCACTCACATTTCGGATACAAAAAAAATCTGTAACAGTCGTCTGAATAAAAAAAAACACAATTATACAGAACACTTGTATCTTCTAAAAATCTATCTTCATATTGTCTCAACATCAATTTTAGTCGAATGTTGTTCTGATGAAAACACTTTTCCCACACCAGAACTCTCTACCACAACCTGCAAGAGTTTATTGTGGCTCACATTCAGTTGTTAGACATAGTTACAGGTCATCTTCTGATGACTATCACTTGGTTAGCAAGCAAAATGCGCGTCGGGAGACAGTGTTTTTATTCCGGTGTCGAAGAAGTATTCCCATTATATTCATTTTACATCAGAGGTTTCAATTCTTTATACCTTTTTCAAAATATAGGATATTTTAATAAATCGATGGATGTATTCGTTAGTTACTACATGGTAGGAAATCATCATGAAAAATAAGAATCATATTAGATATGTAATGAAAATAAATATCCATACCTGAATTTCTTTTAGCAACTTCAAATATGGCCATGGTGTCATCGGATAAATAATATCTTATAATGAAAATTCTAGAACAATTTTCTGGTATTTTCGACTTCATTCGGGCTTCAAATCGCAGTATATGGCTGTCCAAACCGACCCTGGAAATTTGGAAATGAAAAAATTATCATTTCCGTTCATTTCATCGAGGAAGAAGTGGATGGGTTCGTGCACTTGCCAAATAATTATTCAAACAAAAAATTTAAAAAACAACGTCCTACAAGAAAACCG